CATTATCCAAGCATGACTGTTTACTTGTAAAACATTCTTTCCTGCCTGCTAAATCCCGTCTTTTGCATATTTTACTTCATCAGTAGTAGAAAAGGAAAGCTGAGATTCTACTGTCTTTCTTATTCTAGTAAAAGTTCATAAAAGTTAAAACTACCAAGGAAAGCCACATGAGTACATAAAAAAAATGAATATACATAACTTAAACTTATCAGCAAAAAAATAAATTCTGATGTTTAGATGTGTGTATGCATATATATAATGTATATAAGAAGAATACAAAAAAAATCAAATGCAAAGAATATCAAAAAATCCAAAACACATTTGAGGAAAGCGAAAACAGAAAAGAAATACAAGTTTTATCAGTAAATCTAAGGAAAAGAAAAAATTTATTTAAGTTACACACATGTTTTCCTAAGTCTGCCAAAGGTCCAGATGATATCACTGTTGGCTAATACACTGACCAAATTATTGGCTAGTAATATTAACACAGCCTTTCTACAGATGTCAGCCTTGACCTGGCAGGAGAAAAACACTTTGCAGGATCTGGAGAGATGCACCAATTATATACAAGTAAAATATGGAATATCAGCATTATCTTTGATTTTCTCAAACAAGGCCAATTTACAAAGAAAAGGACCATCCCCAAGATTATACATTTTCTTCCCATATTCACCTTCTCACTTTGTATGTGCCTGGTGTGTCTCCTTACTTTCATTTCCATAAGATAAAAACACAAATTTTATCATTCATATGGTCCAACCTGTGTTGATGGAAGGGACATTAGTGATCCAGCGATCAGAGTGGTACCTAGAGCGGGAATCAGGCTCTTGGGAGTGTTCTGACTGGCTCTTTTCTTGGAGCAAAAGAGGGAGGAAGGAAGAGAGAAAGGGAGAATTAAAAAAAAAGAGAGAGAGAGAGAGAAGGAAGCGAACAGGGAGAGAGCAAGAAGAAATTAGAATGTCTTTAGAAAAAGTAAATCTGCCCAGAGTTTGGCCATAAGGCTCACCATTCCCTAGTGTCTTCACTGACTTCCTCACATATTTTGTCATCTGCTTGGCTCCTAAAGACAATACTTCTCACTCTATTCCAACTGTTCATTTTAGATGAGGAAACAGGAATCCACTAATAGTGTATTATATTGCCTAAGGTGACACAGATGGCGATCAGCAAAACAACAGGAAGTTCAGTGCCCTGGCTCCCAGTTCCGCATTCTCTCCCTTGACTCCATCATACTCTTCCCCACAAATTCATCAAGAGAGGGAAACACCCAAAATGTTGATAGAAAAAGAGGGAACCAGCATATAAAATATATACAGAAATTATGTGTTCCTGTCATACTACAAGTTTTTTTTAAAAACTGTTTTCCTTTATGCCCACCCAAACAAGGGTGCTAGGAACTATGTGAATAGGGGAGTGCGGGATATAGGGGTTGTTGATAAAACTGTATCCGTACCCAACACTACAGCAATAGATGAGACATGATTCTGTTATTAGGGCTAGGACACTGCATTTCTAGCAATCTCTCTCTAATATCATATTCCTACACTCAAGTGTGCAGAACTTATGACAGAGACTGGATTACCTGTTATTCTGGCTTCTCTCCCCCTTTCTTGGCTATAAACTAGTTTATTTTATATCTCATGACATCATACAATGATGTGTTGAATTTAAGTTAAAGGAGGGGCATTTGCTATCCTCCTCAGTTACAAATAGTGCTCAGCCATTCTGTAGGTCTTGAATTGTAGCTATTTAGAGTAAATGAACACCTAATCATACTGCTAGACCTCCCAAATCACTTCAATTCCTAGAATAAACTTCCATGACCCCTGGGATACACCCACTTTTTACTACACTGGAAACTTTGGGATCACCTACAAAGCCTTCCAGTTTTTCTGCCAGAACTTTCATCTTGAAGGAGAATCATTAAACCTCTGCAAGAAATTGTTTGGGACACAGGCAACACAAAACAACAGATATCTTTAGAGAGATCCAACAGTGAACACATCTGCAAAATGTAAGGGAAAGGATGAGAGGTGAACGTGAAGCAATCCAGAATCATCAGAGTCAAGGAGAGGCAAGAAATCCATTCAAGTTTTGAAAACAAGAAAGTAAACGTTCACTCTGCTTTTCACATCAGAACTTCAAATTCTTAATATACTACAATAGTACCAAAGTTATATTTAAAATAAAGAAATGAGGAAAAGCTATTAAAAATGGAGGTACTATCATGGAAAATTGTGAAAGCATTTTGCATTTTTTATATGGCTACTTCCTGGAGGAATATAAATGAAGGGATATTAGTAATGATTACATGTACAGTTATTTAAAAACCAGAATAATAACTGGCAAGGAAAGAGCAAGACTGTTTATTAGCCTAACATTAAGCATGAAATTAGGCAGGGCATTTTGGGGAAGTAATGGTAGACAGACAAAACCAACCAACCAACCAAACCAAAACAAAACAAGACAAAAGAACTTTAAATTGCATTATATCTGACTGTAGAGTAACACAATTCTTAATTATTAGGCACGAACCCTCAAAATAATGAAGGTCCATGTATAAAATAATTCCACCATACGTTGTTTATTCAGAAACACAAAATTTTACCTTAAAAAGAATTATCTCATTTAAAAGTGGTCATTTATATCTGTGAAGTGAAGAACTTCTGACTGTGCTTAAGTTCAGGGTTAACTCTGTTTTGTTTCCTTCCAAAAGCTGTTACATAAATTAACATGTAAAGTTTAAAATGCTAGTAACTAAATAATATATCCTGAAAATACATGGAAAAGATTTCAGGTTCCATTTTTTTTGATTCATTGTTGCAATTGTGACTAAAAACTTTTTAACCATAGTTTAACTTTTTTCTACCCCCTTTGATTGTCCTTAGTGAAATGTTTTCACTACCTTATATTGTTATCACACTGAATTTAAATTTTATTTTAAACTCATTTTAAAATAAATTTGCTTAGAATGAAAACTTTTCATTCTATAATTACT